GTCTAGTCCTAGACCGTGCTGATCCAATTCAGCTGGTATGTTACTGCCAATTGCCCTCCTATTCAGCCTTAAGCCTTCTTAGAAGGTACGTGGCTCAAATGCTCATGCATGTTTTTGTGATTAAACCCTCTGGCACTGAAATCAAATCGAATGCTTAATATTTACAAGTAATTTTCCATTTTGATCAAGAATGTCAGAGATTTCAAAGCAAGCAAAACAAAAAACATTTCTTCGCAGCAGCAGTGTAAAAATGCAATGTAATTTAGAAACCCCAAATAACTGTTTACAAATTTCTACAGTCCAGAATTACAAATGTTTTCTCCAAGTTTGCAGGAAAGAAATGTGTAAGAAAAAACCAAGCCCTGCTTTGGTATAGTGTTTTAGACCAGATGATTTCCAAAGGTTATTTCCAGCCTAACTTATTCTATGATTCTATCTGGCTTTATTACATAAGTTTGTGTCCCTAAGAGCCAAAAGCATATGAGAGAGGAATCAACTAAGAATTTGTGCAATTTGTAAGTATCTTTTTCTACACAGTCATAGCAAAACCTCCTTGCAAGCATCTCCTTCCCAAAGGAACGGTGTCCATGACAGACATCTCTCACCACTATTGCTATAGCTTTCCATGTCTATTATTACTAAGTTCTTTAAGGGCTGCATAAGAAGAGATGGAGCCAACAAATCTGTAGGTTCAGTACTTGGATTACACAATGAAGACATACACAATTCATTTCTACACTTTTTGTATTTTAATACACTAATCTTGAAAACTGTAATATTTTTGTTTTGCTTCTGGCTATATCAAGAAAACTCTACCCCTCTTCCCTACAAGGAATGCCTATCATATTACATATGCTCAGGAAAAGTCACTTGTCTAAAGATACGCTGCCACATTGCCTTTGAAAGATAGTTCTGGTTGCATTTTCAGCTGTAGAAAACAAAATCATTTGCACACAGATCTCTGCATTTAAAAAGCACAGATAAAATGTTGAGGGCTGTGTCATAAGGCTCTGTTCAAATGCTGATGAACCTAACAACAGCACAATGTGAGATATTTGCAACCTGAGGTTATAAAACCAAATAATCTGGAGCTCAACAATCTTAATTATTTACAGAATATAAAGGTGATACTCTGGATACTTTTACAAGACAGTAAGTACACAAAAGGATACTAAAAACAACAGGCAAGAATGTATCTTTAACAAGGTGGGGGGGTGGAGGGAATCAGTCTGGCCGCTTTCCTACTGCCACTGCCAGAGAAAGAATATCGGGTTAGCTAGGTAGACCACTAGACTAAGCCTACAGGGCATTTCTTACATTTTTAATTTGTGACA